CAATGGAATGAAGGCATATTTCTCCATTTATTTGTGTCTTCTTCAACATCTCTCATCATTAAAGTTTTACAATCTTCTCCACAGAATTCTTGCATATCTTTAATTAAGATTCTTTTGTACTATTGTATACAAGTTGTCACTTTTTATTTCAAAATTTTTAATTTACAGAAGAGAGGCAAAAACAGTAGAATCCTCACATCTCTTTGTGAGGATGTTAGCATCTTACATACCATTGTATGTTAGCATCTTACATACCATTGTACATCGACCAAAGCTAAGAAATTAACACTGGTACAACACTATTAAGCTACAGTTAGTTAACTTATTTGAATTTCCCCCAGTTTAACTATTAATTCCTTTTTCTCTTCCAGAATTCCATCCAGGATCCACCATTATATTTATTCAGCAGGTCTCCTTGGTCCCCTCTGATCTGTGACAGCTTTTCATTCTTGTTTTTCATTACCTTGACATTTTCGAAAAATACTGGTCAGGTGTCAGTATCTTTCACTGTTTGGGTCTGTCTGATGTTTTCTCAAAATTAGACTAGGGTTATAGCACTGGGGCAAGAATTCCAAGGCAAGGTGCTTTTCTCATTGCATCCTACCAGTGGACCATGACATCAACATGATTTATCACTGACGATGTGAACCTTGATTCACTTCGTTAAGGTGGTGTTGGCCAAGTTCCTCCACTGTAACTGAGTAACTATTTTTCCCCTTCCATAGTCTAGTCATTAGAAACAAGTCACCAAATACAGCCCAAACTCAAGGGGAGGGGAGTTCAGCTCTACCTCCTGCAGGGCGAGTATCAACGAATCCGTGAACATATGTTAAAACCACCACAGCAATTAAAGCACATTTTGAAGGAAATACTTTGAAGTTTCTCCTTAAAGTTTCACCTACTAATTTTAGCATTCATCCGTGGATCATTCCTGCAGCAATTACTGTGATGTGTTTCTATTCTCCTCATTCCTTCCATATTTATTACTTGGAATTCTTCTGTAACAAAGATCTAGCGCCCTCCTCCAATTATTTGTTTAATTTTATCAGTATGGACTCAGAAATATTTATTATTTGAGTTATCCAAAACTATTATCATTTATTTTGCTGCTTAAACGATTCTAGCTCTGGCCATTGGTTGGTTCATGTTTCCTTTTGATGTGCCCCCATTCTATTTATTTATTTTTCTATTTATTTTATTTATTTATTTATTTATTATTCTATTTATTTTTTTAGCACTTTCATCTCTTCAAGCACTAGACAATACTTCAGGCTCATCTTGTATTTTCCCTGCCCTAGCCCTAGAATCACCCATTTATCCAGAGAGCACTGGTGAAGAATGAATGATATTTAGAAACCAGGATCTGGGCATGAGGTGTGCTCGTAGTTACTGGGATGTCACTACTTCTGTCTCCTCTCACTAGACAGAGCATGAAGACACATGTAGTATGTGCATAACCTGAGCATGCACACACATCTACACTCCGTGTTTATCTAGATGTGTACTAAACTAACCATGAGCTCATACTCACAGGCATACCCCCACACACACTTATTTGTAACTTTTTCTCTGACAGTGAGAAGCCTGACTGTCATTACTTACAGTTGATTTACTTAAGTGTATAACCCTATTGTACATGTAGCGAAATAAACTTACCCACTAGAATACAGTGTTTATGAGTTATTTGTCTTTAACCATCCAGTGTCCAGTCAAAACATTGTTTCTGAAAGCAACACAGGCCAGCTGCTTCTTCCTCTCTTCTTTCAGTGATATGTCATACATTTGTAACACACTTAGAACTCACTTACCACAGTCTGCTTCCCATCCAAGGGTACTCAAACATCCTGGTTTTTTGTTAATTTGCACACAGTGCAATTCAGTCCTGAAGATTCAGTTTTGTGGGCTTCAATGAATTCCTGGAGTCATATATCACACAGTATCATACAGAGAAGTTCCATAGCCCTAAAAATGCCCGGGGATGAGCCTTTTGAAATCCAATACTCCTCCTCCCCTAACCACTGGCAGCCATTGATCTGTTTTACATCCCTTTGATTTTTTTCTAGAATGTCCTATAAATGGAATCCTATAACATGTAGCCTTTTGCATCTAGCTTCTTTTACTGTTTAGCAAAATGCATTTGAGATTCATCTGTGCTGTTGTATGAAATCATTAGTTTCTTTTTATCGCTGGGTGATATTCCATTGCATGGATGTACCATGTTTTGTTCATCCATTCACCTGCTGAGGGACATATTGGTTGGTTCCAGTGTTTGGCTATTGTAAGTAAAGTTGCGATGTGTATTTATGTATGGGGCTTGGTGAACATAAATATTCAATTCATTTGGGTAAATATCTGGGAAAGGGGCTACCAGGTCACATGGTTTGTGTACATATAACTTCATAAGAAATTGCCAAACTGTTTTCCAAAGTCTCTGTGCCATTTTCCATTTCCCCCAGCAACATGTGGGAGTTCCAGTTGCTCCACATCCTCAAGAGTGCTTGGTATTGTTAGGTTTTGATTTTTTTTTTTTAATTATAGCCACTCTAATAATGCTGTAATGGTATCTCATTGTGGTTTTAATTTGCATTTCCATAATGACCATTGATGTTGATTATCTTTTCATGTGCTTATTTTTAATCTGTTTTTTAAATTGGAGTATGCTTTATCATTGTCAAGTTGTAAGCATTCTTTATATATTTTGGGTACAAATCCTTGACTAGATAGGTGATGTGCAAATATTTTCTCCAAGTCTGTGGCTTGTCTTTTCATTCCATTAACAGTATATTTTACAGAGCAAAAGCTTTTAATTTTAATGAAGTCCAATTTGTTGATTCTTCTTCTCTTATGGGTTGAGCTTTTGGTGTCATATTTCAAAATTCACTGCCAAATCCAAGGTCCTAGAGATTTTCTCCTATGTTTTCTTCAAGAAATTTTATGGTTTTGTGTTTTGCTTTAGTTTTTTAAAGTATTTAGTTTTTTAAAGTATGTAATATCTTTTAATTTTTCATTTTCTAATTGTTGATCATCTCCAACATTAGGCATAAATGCTAAATGTATTAAAATTTACACATGTATATATTTGTATTACACATCCATATATTTATATTAGGAATAAATTTAGGAAAGTATTGTATTATTAATACTTTGGTGTGGGAAAACCTTTGTCGTAAAGCAAGATATATCACTTTAAAAACATAAAGTATTTTCTATGATTTAAAAAAATAAATACTTAAGACCATACACACTTGCTAATGCTTGTAATCCCAGCACTTTAGGAGTCCGAGGCGGGAGGCTCGCTTGAGGTCAGAAATTTAAGACCAGCCTAGGCCACATAGCGAGACCCCATCTCTACAAAAAATAATGTTTAAAAAATATTGAGGCATGGTGGTGCATGCCTGTAGTACTAGCTACTTGGGAGGCTCAGGTAGGAGGATCGCTGGAGCCCAGGAGTTAGAGGTTACAGTGAACTATGAACACACCACGGCACTCCAGCCTGGGTGACAGAGTGAGACCCTGTCTCTAATTAATCAATCAATCATTAAAGTTAAAAAACCAAAGATATACTGGGGAAGATATTTGTGCCCATAAAACAAAGTAATATCTCTAATATATAAAAAATTCATACAAAGTGATAAGCAAAAATGAGCAAAAGATATGAACAGGGAATTCTGCAAGAGGAAACTCAGACACCAAGTGCATAAAAGGTGCCAGCACAGATGGAAATGAGAGCAGGGCCTCAGTTTTTATCCACATTTGGTGGGCCCTGCTAAGGGTGCTGACAGTTCTTCCAGGCATGGATGTGGGGAAGCTGAGGGAGCCTGAATTTCTGTAACTTCTTGGGAAAGCAATCGAGCAATGTCTGTTGGGTGCAACCAAGGATGCACCCACTCACCCTGCTCCAATATGTCAGCTTTTAAGAATAAAGGTGGGTGTTGCATCGTTATCTGAAGAAGTGGCTTAAAATAAAGGAGACTGAATGTCCATGAAATACAGAATAGTTGAATTAATTTTGGCCAGTCTAAACTATGGACTATTATGCAATTACTGAAATGAGAATTAGATCCATGTTTCTCTACCTGGGGAAAAATTAGATGAGCGTGTTGCAGAGTGACAGGAACCAAGTGATACGAGCTGTCCCGCGTGTATAAAATCATCCCACCTAGCATCTGCTGCTAGGATGAGCAGAGGAGGCGGGAGCTAGGGATCCAGCTGGCGGTCAACACTGATGATCTTGAGGGAGGAGAGCCACTGTAAATCTTTGAACTATTCTACTTGCAACTAGTACTTAATCTTTTTGCTATAAAAACTTTAAATGAAGAAAAATTAAGACCAAAGCAAATAGTGATAGAATGAATAGAGTGGAGACTGATACAGATCAGTTCCTTCAGATCCTGTGTCAGAATCACACAGGGGTGGACCCAGGAATATGAATGTGAAGCCAGCTGTCGGGGTGATTCTTGTGCTTCCTTCGGGCTGCAGGTGTTGATGGGGCATCGTGTTTTCAGTGAGGTGCTCTGTGGCTGCCCCTCCCTTCTGGGCTTACAACTCCTCATAAACGGGTCTCCTGCCACCACCCAGCTTTCCTGGCCATCGCTCTGTCAGTGTATGAATGGCAGCATGGTGGTGGGAGTTGGCATCTCTTACCCGTGCTGATCACTTCTGTTTTATTCTTGACCCAAATGTCAGGTGCGATCCAGGGAAGAGACCCAGAGCTTGAGGTGAGGCGAGTCCTCGACACCTGAGCTCAGCCCCAGGCAGTTACCAATCTGAGGAGGATTCACAGGCCTCTACCTTCTTCAGACATTGAGGTCTCAGACACTTAGGGACCACCTTAAAAACCCACCTATTCCACCCCAATATAAGCCTGTCAGGGTGGGAGCTTCTAGGCACGATCCCCACTCCTCACATGGCCCTGGGAGCTCACAGGTTTGTCCCACAGCAGTGAGACAGGTTGCAGTGGGAGACCTAACGTACTATCCCCCAACTTTCTTTCTCTGCAGTGAGGAAGAGCCCCACACTGCTGGAAGTAACAACACCGCACTTCATGAGAACCAACAGCTTCACTGAGGACCTGGACCTGGAAGGGGAGACACTGTTGGCACCCATCACCCACGTCTCACAGTGAGTACCCATGGAGGCTGGGCCCCATGGGCACAGGGGCTCAGAAAAGCCACCTTGGCACTGGGAGAAGGCTCACTCTCTGGCTGGGGCACTGTCTACTTGCCCAGTGCCTGGACTCTGCACCCGCCCTCAGGAACCTGGTGTTGCAGGCCACGGGGGGCTGGCCCTTGTGCCTGGGTACCAGGCAGCAGAGAGCAGGAATACTTCCCACTGAGTATGGGAACATGACCCTCCTGTTTTGACTTATGGAAAACCAGACAGATCATTTTCCACGTGTTTTCATGCTTTGAGCATCTGAGAAGATTGTTTTTCTCTCCCCTGTCCTCCTCCCCACCCCATCCCCCAATAAAGAGACGACTTTGTTTTTTAGCATTTCCCCATGGAACCCTGGCCAAAGATAGGGCAGATGCTGGGTGCAATTTGCCAGTTGCTGCTGCTGTCCTCAGGGGCTCCTTCAGGTGGAGGAAATAGCTGATTTTCCATGCCTTCCAGTTGGCCTTCCCCTGAGGCACAGCTGGCCTGGGACACATGCCCATCCTCCCCCGCCGTCACGGCATCTCGAGGCCAATGCCTGGTGCCTAGCCATGGTGTGATTCCCCTGTGACGTGTGACTCAGTACCCGCAGCCAGGGCACCCGGTGGTAACAGCCGCGCACTAGGGTCAGCGACGCACTCAGACCCATTCTGGCCACTGTCTCACTGGGGATTCCCCTTGAGAAGTGTCTTTGTGCCAGAATGTGTGAGCAACAATCTCAGCCCTTCTGAGGGTCACTTGCTGGGACTCTTTCCTTCTCATTACTGACATTTCTCTAAACCATGTTTTGCTCTTCAGACTCTCTGAGGGTTGGGAGGGTGTCCTGAACTGCGTGCGCCTTGTCTTAGTGGGGCCCCGGGCCTCCTGCCTTTGCTGCCAGCCAGACGTCGGCTTGGCTTTGCAGGTGACTAAGGTGATCGGGACCCACAGTGCCAGGGGCTGCTCGTGTAACCAGAGGACTAGCAAGTCAGGTAGCCAGAATGAGGCCACCCCCAGGGAGGGGACAGACTGTCTTAAGGTGTAATTATGATCAGATAAGACCTGCTCACTGTCGTTCCCGGCCCCCAGGTTCACAGGGAGATTGGCAACACCCCATGGTTAGCAGGGCGTGGAAACGGAGCGTTAACAGGCTCCAGGAGAGCCAGCAGGTCACTGGGAAGCAGGGGCAACTACTTGTGGATGCCCTGGGACTAGGGCTTGGAGCTTTGAGTCCCTGCTGAAGACAGTCTGACAGGTCGGCTAGGTCAACAGGCAGGAGCAGAGGTACGAACAGGGTGGCGGCCAGACGGGCTGGGCAAGAACAGGGGCCAGAAGGCAGAACACGAGTACACCGTGGCCAAGACTGGGTGCGAGAGACCCAAAAGGGTCAAATGGAGTTTTGTGACTGGTGCTATATGCAACATGGGTGGCAGTACCTGCTCAGAGGACAGCCAAGGGTGCACTGGGAACCCTGGAATGCCCCAGGATTTGGGCCCAGATGCCACCCAGGCCTCACTGGGCCACTCAGCCTGTCCCTTCTTGTCCTCTTGGCTATTCTTTCCTCCTGTTGGAACTCATTCTCCTTCATTTTCTTGGCCATGGACCAGTCTACAGATACACACACACAGTCACACCCTGGGAGGACAGGGCTGTCACCTACCATCCATCTAGCTGGGCGGTCCCCCTTGCTTCTGGGTGCTGAGAAGTCCCTACAGGTGGGCCCAGGGGCAGGTGGTGGAAGGCTGGGCACCGATGTGCACCACAGCCAAGCCTGCAGCTGCCTTGTCATCACCCCTTGGGAGCGAGGGCTGCCCATTCTGTTATCAGCACATGACGCGCTCCCTGGAGCCAGACTGCCCACCTGCTCTGGGGGTGATCCCAAGCCAGTGTGACTGGGTCACCTGGTCACTAGGCCATTTCTTGTCCCCCTCCAAGATGGCGGAGCCTGAGACACCTGAACAGCCCTAAGACCTCTGCCAGCCCTACTATGGGCCTGGCATATCACCATCCAGAAAGCTGCTAGGGGCCTTCTCAGGCTGGCACTCCCGTGGCCTGCTGGGGTCAAGGAAGGCTCCTCCATTGCCTCCAGTGCTATCTGGGCCCAGGCAGGGCAGAAACCCCAGTCATCATCTAGCCAGGTCCCTGCCCTGGAACTTGTCAAGGTTTTTCCCAGGACAGGACCTTCCAAAAGCCGCAACTGGATGTGAGCCAGCCTAGGATGGTGGGAAGGATCCCAGGCACGGTGCTTGGGTGAAGGATCTGAGGTGGGGGCTGGGGAAGGGGAGAATGAGGTTTCAGCAAAGGGGCTACCTTGAAGTATTGTGGTCAGGTCAGGGCAGAGTCTGGGATGAGGCATAGGGGTATCTGTGTGCGTACATCCTTAGGAGTTGGGGTGCTGTCTCTCCAGGGAGGCCTAGAGGAGAGGGTGGGATGCAGGTACAAAGCGTCGGAGCAGTGAACCCAGGTGCCCCCCAGGCAAAAGACTGGCCAGAGGCCCTACCCCAGCAGGGGGAGAAGGCAGGCAGCAGTGGGTACTGTATTTACTCAGGGTCCAGACTGCCTGGCTGCAGCGAGGGGGTGGGGAGTCCAGGTCTTCCTGCCCGCATCAGGGCCGCATTCCTCTGCCTCCCGCACAGCCTGCCTGGTGATTGATGCCTGTAATTAAACTCGGCTCCAGCTGCTTCGGGATGGAGCTGAGCTCCCGTGGGCAGCCCAGACCTGTGGACCCCTCGCTGAGAAGAGAGGTGCATGTCCTGGTGTGTGCGCGAGGGACAGGGATGTGTGCGGGGGTCTCACAGGGGCAGAGTGGGTGGGAGGCGGTTACTGAAAAACAGATCCATTTTTCTTCAGGATTTTACTGATGTTAAATGTATTACCATGCTGGGCCAGTTCCAGAATTTAAATTAAAAGCATAAATAAAGACACATTTTGTTTCCATCTCAAGCTTTCCCCGCCCACAGAGCCCCAGGGAGGTGAGGTCACTGCAGCCTTGATTACGGGAAGGTCCCTGGGGCTGGACGAAGCTCCTCTTTCCGGGGTCTGTTGGCCAGTGGTGGGGCCGGGGGTGGGAAGGAGTTAGCAAGCGGGCCTGGTGCAAGCTCCAGGGAATTGTTGGCAAGCAGGGGCTGGGTGCTGGGGAGACAGAGTGGCTTTGCTGTCCCCCCAGCTGGTAGGCAAGCCCAGGTGCTCCCCATGAAGCCCAGGGGTGCCCAGCTCTGCGTGGGCTGAGTCTCAGCCTCACACACACCTTTCAGGCAGAAGCTGTCTCCCCAGGTCCAACGGGGTCTCAAGCTCCCTAAGCCTGTGTCTCCCACCCAGGACCTTGCTGTAGGGCTTCTGAGAGGCAAGGGTGAAGTATAGTCTATAGGCCTTCCTGGCAGTGTACAGGGGAACTCCATGAGGACAGGGGAGCCCTATACCCCAACAAAGGCCAGGATGAGTTCCCAGGATCCTGCCCCACTTGTTCTTCTCTGCCCACCGGGGGCCACTGGCAGGACAGTGGGATGGAGGGCTACAATGCCTGTGTGTGCCTTTGTGCCTTGCATGTGGTATCCTGCCATCTGGAATGCCCTTGTCACTCATCTGTATCCATCAGATCCCCATTCATCTTTCCAATGTCCGCTCAGTCATCCCTGCCTCAGCAAGGCCCCCCAGGACACTCTGAGGCTGGGCAGATATGACCTCCTTTGGCTCCCAAAGCCCTCAATACTAGCTTCCCTGAGCCCTGAAGGTCAGGAGGAAGCAGGATATGTAAAGCCCCTCTCAGCCTTTCCTTCCCCAGAACCCCCGAAGACCCAGGCACTGAGGAACACCAGGACTGCCACTCCCCACCCCATGCACAGAGCACCCCTTCAGCCCTGCCTGAGATGATGCAAGAGCTACAGATGCCTTCTGGGGATGCTGAGACACAGGGCCAGGGTCATGAGGTTCTGTAGCTCTGAGCATGGGGGTCACATGTAGGTGTGGCCTGGGAGAGCTTCTCCCAACAGCCTTGGCAGGCTGTAGCCATTTTTGTGAATGGCTTATCTCCCACCCCTGGCTGCCAGGCCAGCCAGGACTGGCCTGGAATCTACACATCTGGCCCGTTGGTTACCAAGTGGACACCCAAGACAGGTAGCCTAAGAGGTCAGGCCCATCATGAACCCAACAGCCCATGGCTCTGCCCAGCCCAGCTGTGTAGTTTCGCTACAGGGCCCCTCCATCTTTTCTGTTGTAGCATCTTACACTGGCAAGCCCCAGCTCATATTTACTAGACACCTCCCCAATCCCACTCTGCAAGGGAACATTCAGGGAGCAACCTGTCCACTGAGATGGGCATGGGGGAGGACCAGGAGCCCCAAGGCTGGACACAGGGAGTGGAAAAAAGTCACAGAGAAAGCTGCAGAGACCCCCACCAGGTGACCGTGAGCACCTCCCTGGTCAGCATGTGCTTGCCTGGCCTCTTGCGACATGACAGCTTTGCAAATCCTTGAGTAAAACCAGCCCCGTGTGCATTAATTAGAATTTCCATGTCTTCAACTTTCTCCTGGACCCTGCAGAATCTCACGCCAAGACGTTCAAGTTGCTCTTTTCCAGCGAGGCCGCTGTGGCCTGGCTTTCATCCACATCACTACTAATGTCTCCTGAATTCTGCATTTGTCAGCGAGGCCAGGGCCAGCCTGTGCCTTCTGGAAATGGGGGCAAATGTCACAAGGCTGGCCCCAAATACAGCGCCATGGGCCAGGGAGCTAGCTCTTTTGATGGGACCACCTTTGCCTGCAACATTTTGGAGACACCCAGGGCCCACTATGGCCCACTCCCACAGACCCCAGGGGCACCAGGCACTACACCTCTGTGAGTAACTGAGCCCTCACCTTGTTTCTCACCCGGTAAAATTTGGTGAGAAAGGATAGAGAGGCCATTCTGGGACCAGTGTCCAGGAGGATGAGGAAGGGGGCTTGCCAAGAACAGATGAGACCATTTTGTCTTTCCAGACTGGTGTCCTGTCT